CTCAAGATACTTAAGAATTCCTCTTATAGGGAATGCAGGTGTGAGCTGGTCACGAGTGTACTTAGGTGTTCATTCTCCATGTGATGTGCTAGGAGGATGGACTATCGGCGTACTGCTGCTTTTCATATTTGGTAAGATATCGCACTCGATCATTATATTTATTTGTTTACTTTTGTCCCGTATGTGGCCCATAAGGGCGGCGACGAAGGCTCCGCGACCACCCACGAGCATCCATATCATATAGGCAGCGTGAATGATTGACTACGAAGTACCCCTTCTCCTTTCTTACTTTCGTCTGCAGGTGGATTTTCGGATAAGCTCTACGATGCCTACGAAAGCAGCTCTTCGTCGGACCTATCCTTCTTCGTTTATTTCTACTCCGTCGTACTATTCCTGATATGGGCGCATCCCAGAGCTTGGCCAGAAACGCAGAGCTACGGAGAGGTGAGGTAGAATTTATGATACAGAATCTTTGATTGGGAAAGTCTCTGCACTCAATATATGAGGGTTAATTTTGGTTATGTTGACATTATCTGGTGACCATTTCCAGTTGTAAGATCTAATGCCTGATTAATTATGTATGCTAAGATTTTACAGTGTGCACATTTAAAGTCATCTCAAAATGGCTTTTTTTACTCATAAAATAAGTTTATTAAGCGAATGGATACGGATTTTTAACACTTCACAATGAAAAGACATAGAGCGATTGGTGAAAGCGCTATGAAACATCATCATTATAGTTGCGAAAATTTTTGATGGAAGTCGTTGTGTTCAGACGTAACCTTTAGCATCCGTGGTGGTTGCAGGAAATTTCCTAATTGCGATGGAAATCGGCCACGCAAGATTGATCGCCTTTTCGGAACGCCTTAAAATGTTTAATTTTTTTTTTCATTTTTCAGAAAGCTATTGGGATGCTAATCAAATAAGTCAATCTCTTGCTTCACACCAAACCAGGCTATGTACTTTGCTGATAGATTAAGATTCTGGAATAAAATAATCTGAACCAATTTCCGCTCATTATCCAAATCGCTAATATGCTAGAAGAATCACCCTTTTCAATTATAATTTTCGTCTTATTCTAGTAACCCAAACAATAAATTTTTGCAATTAATCAATATCAGGCTATCGTGTTTGCTCTTAACTCTCATTTTTCAACTTCAATCTTTGTTTTCTTTAGCTATTCATTCACATCATCTCCCATTTTTGTACTTTTTAACTAATTAAAACATGATGTTAATTGTTTTATGGACCTTTTCGATTTGTTAACTTTTTCCTGTACAGTTAGGAATTGACTTTGCTCTTCCTTCCTCAAACACAAGCCTGAACTTCTTCTGCCAACACTCTGAGGAAGTGTGTAAGAACAATGAAGAGATGAGATTTATTGTTCGAGATTAAAATCTTGTATCTCGGCTATT